AAAAAAAAAAAAAACCACAAAAACACAAACAACAAAAAACCACCAAAACATTGTCCATAAAAATATCTTTCTGCCATGGGGAAAAGGTTCTTGCTCATCCCCAGCAGTGCAGTTTCTGCAAGGTGCCCTTGAAGGAGCAGTAAGACAGGCAAGGTCAGCACCAGCTGAAGAGAAGCCCCTGAAGCAGCCAGGCAAAAGCTGCCCAGTTCCCTGGGATGGTGTTTGATGACAAAGGGACACTGAAGGATAAAGCCTATGGATTCTTGCAGGAAAAGTCTTCACACAACAGTACTAGCTCCACAAGCTGTTGCTTCTCAAAATTTATTTATCCTGAGCAGGAACATTATTAATGCAGGCAGTGAGCTCCTGGGACTACCAAAGTGCTGGCACCTTCTGCCTCTGTGCTCATTTAATCCACTGTGCCTCCCGTGGGTGTGCAGCTTTCCACAGGAGGGTTTGTGGCTGTATTTTTAAAAATGCAATTAACTGTCTACAGGCCCAGAGCAAGAAACCCTGTAACTAAATGAAGACCATTCATTCCAGGAAGTGCACACACCCAAAATTATCTGGAACCAGGGGCTTTGTGAATTCCACTCACCTTGTTAACTTTTCCCCCCAAAACCAAAAAATTAATTAAGAAAGTAAAGCAAAAAAGCCTCAGCAGCACACAGCCATGCTGCAGAAAATTATTCCTCACTCAGCAAAAAAAGTAAAGTGAGTAAAACAATGCAAGTAATTTATATAATTCCACTTTCTTTTCAAAGGCTGTGTTAGCATGCTACAATTACTCATTTTTAACTGAGTCTCACTGCTGGTATGGATTCTGTGAACTGTCTGGCTCAGGCACCGCTGGCCCCTGATATCCTCCCCAACCCTGCAGAGACCCTTCACAAAATCTCACTACAATGTGTATAACTTTAGTAATAAAGGAATTGCTTATCCACAATGGCATCAGAGCTGGAACAATCCTGTGTGGAAAAACACTGACTCAGCTCTCACAACATCCAAATTTGGCATTTTCTAGCAGGTGGCCACAAAACATGGAGACACGAGGTGCAGTTTGTACTCCCAGAACTTCCTCAACTTACCATACTGTGAGCATCCAGGTATCAGTATTAGCCCCTACGACAGGGATAAAAGTAGGGAAGAACAAAACACTTGAACAAAGAGGAAAATGGCCTTGAAAAACCTTTATCTTGTCATATATTCGTTAAGTCATGCAGGTACAATTAGGTACACCTCTGGGCAAGCACAGGACCCAGAGGATTGTCAAATCCTGCCAAATCTCAGTGAAACCAACAGTGAAGAACATACACACCCTTTTGAGCCCATTTTCACTTCTGAAACAGTGTTAAATAGTCCCTCTGTAAACAAAAGTTCTCTTTTCCTGAATTACCTGGGCAGCAGATCACAACCTGTGTTATGATTCGAAGGGTAGCAGATATTTAACTTTCCTCCACACAGCAGTCTTGCATTTCACTCACGGGTATTTCTGCTCCTTCATCTGGACTTTGGGTGAGCACCTTCTAATGAGCTCCTCTGCTAATGCTTTGCAGTTGTCAGGCACACATGAAAGAACCGATCAAAATATTGGATTTCTTCTTGAGCTTTGACTGATGTTTTTCTTAATTAGAGCATTCTTTTGTTTTTTAATTCCTTTTTCCAAACGTCAAAGCTGGTTGCTTCAAAGGATCATTTCAGTCACCCCTGCAAGAAGAGAGAAAATTGTTAGAAAGATTAAAGGGAGCTTGAGAGAGGGAGGTGCAGACTGACAGCACAGAACAAAATATTTAATGAATGCCTGATCCTACTGCCCCCACAGTGAATTCACAGAGGAAACTGAGAGAACAAATAAGATTTTTGCATATTAGACAAAATCATGACAATATATCAGAATAGTAAATGCAACTTTTGCGACATTCATGAGAGATCTTTTGTGAAGCACCTCTACTCCGGTAAGGCAGATCCTGGCGGTTCCCTACACAGTATCAGTTTTGCTGATACTTATTCCAGCTCCAGAAGAGCTTCAGAAAAGCCAATTTTAATTCTTAACTCTCAGTTCTTTTCTTCTTTTTCACAGCAAATTAACTTAAGCAGGATAGGCCTTAAATCACAACACCTCATTTTCTGAATGCACACCACAAAATGGATTAAAGCTTTCGGATAGAAATGTACTGTTTGACGTATTTCTAATATTTTCATGCTCTGCAAGTTGCTCCAGTGGGTTTCTGTTGCAGTGCATATTGACAGAGAAATGTGAACGTGTAGAAGAATTCAGAAGAATGAAGTCCAGCTGCATTATTGTGCACATATAAAAAATATTAATCTTGCTTCATCCTAGGCTATAGTGAATACCTGTTGGCTGTTTTTGACAGCCAGAGCTGTGGACCTGATGTTTCAAACAGTCTGTAAATACATACCTACTGACTTCAGTGGGACTGTGCATTGGAATAAGGATATCTTTACACAGCACTGCACCATTCCATGCAGCCATATCCAGCAAGGAAAATTCACACCAGCTTCCTCAAGCATTCAGCTTAAGCTGCTTCCCTAATTGGAGTAATGCTTATGCTGCCTATGCAGCAAGTAAGTAACAGAGGCTGCATTTTCCAGTAGGGAAGGGATGACTCAAAAAACTGACTTTTTGTGCCACAAGCAGCCAATTTGATTAAACTTTCCTAAAAATGATCAGCTTAAGTGCTGTGAAGGACCAGGAAATTTTAAGGCACTAAACAGACCCAGACAGCTCCTCATTTTTGCAGGAAAAACCTACCCACTTCTAAAAATCTTCTTAGAACAACATACCTGCATTGTATGACACAAGTCTAAGAACCATGGATATTTCCAGTCTAAGTCTGGTGTTTTCCAAATACACAGACTTCAGGAAAAGACAAATTCAATAGCAAAAATTGAAAGACTCAAAGATCGTGATCTTTCAACCTTCCCCTTTCCCATTTCCAAGCCAGCAGTTTATCTGCCCATGACCACATTTCAAAGAAGCCAAAACAGGGCATGAAATGTGTGACTTCAGGACTGCAAAGCCTGTCCTCATTCCATCACAAAAAGTTAAGCATTGGAGCACACCTGATAGGGACCTAACAATCTCCAGCAGAAAAGACCTCTGCTACTGAATGGATAATTAACCTAGTAGCAAGTAGTTCTACAGAATGCATTGACTGGAAGTTGGAAAATTCATAGCTAGACAAAAGACATCTCTTTTTTTGAGGTGTCACACCATTAAAATGGTGACCAATGAGGGAACTGCTACACTAGCATCACCTCCCAGGTCCAGCTCTGCAGTGACCTAAACACACTCCAGCCCCAGACACACAGCTCGTGTTTGGCTTAGTTACCTCTTTGGATGCATTACATATGTGTGCATACAGGCAGCTACCCAAAAATGCCATGTGAGCCTTGCAAGACTCTAGCCACGAAATACATGGACTAGACAAAGCAATAAACCCCATAACCATCCTTGCCTTATTTCCTTGCTCTCTCTTGTGCTTTAGCTGGGATCAGGGATCTCCTATTCAAACAGTTTCTTTTGACCGTTTCTTCTTCTTTTTCATGTGAGTATTCAGGTCCTCCAGCAAGATCAGTGGCAAAAGCCTCAACCCAGGGAATTTTTATTTTGTTCAATTTACTGCCTATTGACACAAATTCCTGATTGTTAATTGAGGTGAATAATTTGAGGGGGAAGAATGCAAATACTACAGATCTTTTCATCTTTCTGAGGACAGGCATTGTAGAAATCTGAACATAAATTTATTACACATTCCACACCTTGCTGCTGTCAGCTAGTTCACCTAATGTTCTAATACCTGCTGCAGACTTTGCACCTTAGCTCTGTAACACACACAAGCAAGAACATCGTACCGATATAAACTACTCATTAAACCTTGGCATAAAAAATACAAACTTTGCTCCAAGATTAGTGTAACTACAATGGATACTAGTATGTCTGGAAGCCCAACAGGGCTTTGTCCAGGGCCCGAGGGGGTGGTGAACACTGTTCATTTGATAAGCAAGAGCCTTTCCCCTTCTGGGGAGTAAAATGATGCACTGAGGGGTGCAGCTCTCCTGGAGCTTCCTCCATGTACTGTGGCATTAACTGGGATCTTGCCTCGTCCCATCACTTGCAATTCCTTAACCCTCCCTTTGAATTCTGCAGGGCTTTTTCTCTTATTTCATCAAACCCTCTCCCTCTTCAGCAATCTACACAAGTCCCTACAAACATACTAAAAATGCAAAATATTTTCTTGCATTTACAATTTCAAGCAAAGAAGCTGAAGAGAGCAGCTATGGTGTTCCATTTAATTTATTTTCAGGCAGTTCTGGGCGAAAGTCGAAGACCGATTCCTGACTGGAATTCCTAACATATGTCTAATCTCTTTGGCCTCAGAAAGAGTTGTGTAGAATGTACAGGATAGTTTGCTAGTTTTTTTCTTCTGCTAGTCTGAGGTTATGATCCTCATCACAAACTGAAAAAAATTCACATGGAAGAAGCTGCTTAGATTATTGAAGTATTAGCTGTGGGTGTGAAAAAAGAGGCCTCTTGCTGCTAAAAATTAGGCTTCAAGACCTTAAGCCATCTGCAGCCTGGGTGGAAATTCTGCTGATATCACAATGAAATAATAATTTGCTCCATATCTACCTGCTTTTCTCTTTCTTAAAGAAGGAGACAAGTAAACAGTGAGGGCAGTGGGCTTCAGAAATAATTTTCTAACACAAATAAATAAATACATAAATAAATATTCATGCTTGAAAAGTCAAATGTAACAGAAGAGAAAGCAATTAAGGTGTTTGTCCTTAGCCTCCCCCACAGCAAAGAAGGCAGAAACCAGAAACACTGCTGCATTTTTTTACTTGGCAGGTCCATATGGCCAAGTGACAATCCTAAATCTCTGCCATACTTACTAGTTCTTCACATGTGCCAGGTTTTGCTTTTTGCTCTATTCACAGACACTCTATGAGGCAGCCCTCTTTCAGACAGATTTGCAGATGAAAGAAACAGGATATATATTTTTAAGAGACCTCCATCACTTCATGCAGGGGTCCTCCAAACTCTTCTAAGTCAATGCATTCTTCACCTAAGCTGTTTCTCATTAGATTATGCAAAAAAACCCCAAACTGAGAAAAGCAAAGAAGATATACGATCATGAATGGGAATACTGATATTGACCTGCTTGCAGAGTTGAACTGTTCATGCCTTAGGATGCAGATATGACTTGAGGACATGCCTCCTTACCTGAAAAGAGGCAAGTTTGAGATAAATGAAATCTAGATAGCAATAAAAATACTGCCTGATACAAAACCTTCAAAAATTCCAAAAGAAAGGACTACCTTTTCCAAAATGAAGAAAGTCTTATGCTCCCTGTTTGAAATTAAAATCATAAAAGATACATGTTTCATACAATGAGCTCTCCAAAAGGAATGTCATACGCTTTACACAATCTTTCCTTTTATTGTCTACTTGTATCTTTGACTCAAACCTGCATTCTGGAAAGTTTCATTACAAGGAAGTAAAAAATTACATTGGTTACTTGTTATTAATTCTTTTTTCCATATTCTCGTCTCCTATTAAAGGATTTAGGAGTAACTCAGCAATGTAAAACCCAGGTACAAATCTTTGTATCAACACCCAGTAAAGACAAGGCTGCAAAAACTGCAGAAGGGATTTGGTGAGCAGTTATGAACCACAGATTCAGTGCTCTACATTGAATTCAGTTTGTGAAATATTTGGAAGCCAGAAGGGAAAAAAACCCCAAAAAACCACAGAGTCAGGGAGGATTACTTTGGAATGCAATGCAGTAACTGTGATTATCAACCTATTTTCAATTATAAATTCCTTAAGATGTTTCATATTTCTTGTCCTATTTACAAGAGAGCAGTTATCATGCTCTTAGGTATCAACAATACCTAAATGATGAGCATGAAATGACAGCAATTAGTAAAGAGTGAAAATTGGAATAACAACTGTGATCACAAAGAAATAAAAAATGAAATAATTGTAGCTAGGCTGTCAGGGACAATTCAAAGACAAGCATGTCTCCCATGTAAAATGTCAACATGTTTTAAAAGGGAGGAGTTTTAACACACTGTGAAATTGAAACTATTAAACAGATTAACTTTTCACAGTAATGTATAATGGCTGAGGAAAAACAACTCTGATAGGCCTTAGTTTGGCAGGGTGAATAGGGATGCCTTTTTGCATATACTCATCAATACTTATATCATGAAGGTTTGTGAACTGCACTCTGTGATCCAAACCTGTATTCATCTGGCAGCTATTCCGAGCTCCAACACACCTAAAAATTACACTCATGGAGACTGTGACTTATAATAAAACTATTAAATACCTTGATTTGTGTCACAAAAATAATGGTTATAACAAATTCATATTATTGATGATAAATTCCCATGCCATTCATTTATTAATAGAAATATATAATTATGGATCCAGTGCATTTCAGAATAGTTGCATTAAAAGCAAACTGCTCCATCTGTTTTATGAGTGACCTGCATGCAATAAATGCAGTTTTTTTCTTTTTTTTTAAAAACCCAACTTTCTATAAATGCCTTTTTCTTTTCAGACTGATTTTTCTAATCATTATTGCTGACCAAGCACATTCTGAAAACTCCTATATAAAGCACAAAGGCACCCTGCACCCTGACAATAGACACCTATAGGTACCTGATAAATTCCACGTGATTATCTAGTCTGTTCCTTGCATTCATTATTGCTGATTTGCACTGGAGATTTCCAGATGTCCAAAGTCAGACTGCTGAAGAAAGCAGAGATTTTATCCACTTTTCTTTAAAAAAAAAAAAAAAAAAAAAAAAAAAAAAAAAAAAAAAAAAATTTTTTAAAAAAAAAAAAAAAAAAGAAGAAAAAAAAAAAAGCAAACAAAAATTAAGTCTTGTAACAGGCATTCATGAATAATTCAAGTTTACTGCCTTGGCTGAAATTCAGATGATTTCGGAATGGGCAGCCTGCCTCCATCCCACAGAATGATGATGCCATTTTCTGCAAACCCACTCCTTGACTTGCCTAGCCCTACCCTTGCATTGCCTTCCATACACATCTCCTGCCTTGATCTGCCTCCTCCTTTCTTCCCATGCTTTGCCTTCCTTCCCCTTGCCTTGCTTTGTCTTTCCCAGCCCTCCTCTCCCCTCGCCTCCCTTGCCTTGTTGCCCATTCCCTGCCTTGCCTGGCCCTCGCTGCACTCACCTGCCCTGCCCAGCCTCACCTGCCATCTCTGGGCCTTCTCCAGAAAGAAACCCACTTGTGCTCCCCCCACAGCCTTCCCTACTGTAATAGATGTCATGGAATAATTCGTGCTAATGTAAAATATATACATATACGCAATAAATGGCGCTTGTATGAAAAATTCTTGAAGTTTTAAATCACAAGCTGCAGCCGAGGAGAGGTTGTGAAACCACAGATGGCAGCAAGCAGAAAGACCTAATTTAAAAACAAAAAGCATGTGCGGGGATGGGCCCTTTCTTGGACCATCCAGGAGACACCCAGTGATGAACATGCGGGAGATGTCTACGATCAAGGTAGGCAGAGTTGTCAGGAGCATGTCAGGAACACGCATCCCCATACCAGCTTCCCATAGCTCAACCTCTGCATTCATCGCTTCCCAGAAACAACTTTGTCCAGCCCAGCACAGAGAAAAGGAGATCCGTGAATACGTGAAGCAACAAAAAGGAGAACCTCTGCCCAGAAGAAAAAAAACCTGTGTAAAACTGACCGGACAGAGACAGCATTCCTGAGCAGAGGGGATGGATCAGATTCTGGATCAGGATTGGCACCCACCCAGCGCCGACCCCAGGCTCAGCACTGTCCCTGGGATTGTGGCTATCTGCGACCAGACCTCGGCCACGAGATAAAATCTATTTTATTCATTGTTAATTCGGCTTGATCATTTTTACCTATAACACTACTGCTCC